AATTCCTCAGGGATGCCCCTAAAATAATGAGAGGGAGCTGTAGCTGGTGTCCAAAGTAATAGCTACACACATTTTTTTAATGTATGAAAGGAAGTGCCATAAGGAAGTAAGACAATCAGGATAGTTATGAAAGTTGCACATTGAATTTATTGCATATTTAAAAGGAACTTATACAGCTTACAAGTGACCTCCTTACTTCTGCAGCTTCTCAGGGAATTTGACAGTACCCCAGACACAGCCCACCTACCTGTGGCCTCCTTGATCCTGAGTCCTTCCAGGCTTTGCTGTGTCAGCCTTGAATCCGAGTCTCAGGCCTCTCTATTCACCCCAAGGCCTTTTCTAGTAGACTAAGAGTTGTACCCAGACCAGACTTATCTCTGATTGGTAGCCCCTGCTACCAGTCCTGCTTCCCCCCTGGCTATACTGTTGGCTGCTACAATTTACTGGAGGTCCAATTTCCAGAACCTCACAGGACTTAATGTCAACACCTGTGTCAGGGTTGGGAGGACTTTGAACTGTCTAATTATCTGCCTCCCTCAATAAACTTCTCTCTAGTCACTGATAATCTTCCAGAACTCATTCCAAAATCCTTAGCATACTCCCACTTTATAATACTTTTTCTCCTTCTTAGTGATTCTGAACCCCTGGCTGTTATTGCCTGCCCTCCAACACCCACCAATTTTAGGCTTCCCCAACTATTCGCCCTCTTTTGATTTATTAATTTTTGAGAAAGGAGGGAATGCAGTTTGTTGTAAGGCAAAAATGTGGTGAAAACTTTTGTCCTGTGGGATACTACAGTAAAATTTTGGACAATGTTGCTAAAGGTCTCCCAGGCTTTTTCCAGGCAATAGTAGCCACAGCTGTGCTTGTTTCTGCCACTGAGGACCTTTATCTTGATTCTCCCTTAACAGCACGTGTTCTCCATGCCATTGAAACACTCTTAATTCACACCATACGTGGCATTTATCCTCTAGCAAGCTAGCCAACTTTGAAGTGACTTTGTCGTCCAAGCCTAATCTGACCATTAAACATATAAACACACTCAATCCTACCATCTGTCTACCTGAGGGGAAAGGTGAGGTTGAGACTTTAGACGATGACTGGTAATTTATCTGGATGTCTTGCTTTCTCCCCAGAGAACCTGAAGGAAACCCCCTTAGAGGGAGAAGATTTTGAATGGTGTGCTGATGGATCTTGCCTCAGAAATGAGGAAGGAGACTTGGGTGTTAGTTAAGGCATCACCACCACCACAGATGGGGTTAAAGCTTCATCATTACCTGATGCCCATTTGGCACAACAAGCCAAACTTGAGGCAGTGGCCAGGGCTTGTGAATTAGGAAAAGAAAAAAGGATTGATATCTACACTGATAGCAGGTATGCATTTGGGGTGGCACATGGGATGCTATGGAAACCTTGGGGCTTCCTCACCTCCTCAGGACAGCCATTAAAAATCAGAAGCAGGTTTCCTGTCTATTAGATTGTTCACTGCTTCCCCAGGCTGTAGCAGTAATTAAATTTCCAGGGCACAGCCAAGAAAACACCATTCATGCCAGTGGAAATCACTTGGCTGGTGGTAGCTAAAACCACAGTTTTAACTCCCCAAACTCCTGAGAGCATGGCTCCCATAGCACAGGTTCCTATGGAACTTTCACTTTGCCCCATAAGTACAGCCTTAGCTTACATCTCAACCGGAAGGCCTGCCCAAGCCTCTCAGCCTAGCAAAAGAAGAAATAGCCACAGTCCAGAAAAGATTGCTTATCACAAAGCAAGAAAAGCTTCAGAAGGAAGGATGTAAGCTTGATAAACTGGGATTAAATAGGATTAAATGGCCCAAATGGATTTATAGTACTGTCTAAGAATTTATCCCTCTCTATGATGGAACACCTTCATTCATTCAGCCACTGGGGACCTGACAGGCTAGTGGAGCTTGCCTGAAAATATTGGTGGTGGGGTGGGGTTAAAGGGCTGCTGTCACTGATTATGTGTCCCACCCCTGCCTGTGGCAGTTTCCTCTCCCAGATTTGCCCTTTGAAACCGGGCAGATTGACTTCATTCAATTGTGACCCACCCATGGTTACAAATATGCTTTGGTCTGTGTGTTCTCCCAGTGGGTGGAAATATTCCTTTGTTGTATTGCCACAGCTTCTAGGATAGCAAAAGTCCTTAGAAAAAAATCATTCCATTATGGTGTGTGTGTGTGTGGGTGGGTGGGTGGGGGGTTTCCTAAGGAAATACATAGTGACAGAAGTACCCATTTCACAGGAGCTTCATTAGCTTAGCTGTTTTCATCCTGACTAATTATTCAGCCCCTCCATTGTGTCTATCACCTCCAGTCATCAGGAATGGTTGAAAGAATTAGTGGATTGCTAAATTCTCTGAGGAGATAGGTATCCCCTGGCATAAAGCTCTTCCTTTAGCCCTGCTAAGCCTTAGATCTAGATCATTTGGTTCCCATAAGTTCAATCGCTATGAGATAGTGACAGGACATCCAATGCTACTGTACTTGTGGGTGGGAAGCATAGCAGCCAAAGGCTCCCTCCTACAATACTATATTAGGTTAGCTCAGAAAATATCAAAGACCTACCAACTTGTCTCACAGTCCCATTTAGAAATTCTAACCAAGACAGCTCCTGATCCAACCCAGTCACTGAAAACATTGTCTTTGAAAACACTCCTTGGAGCCAAGGCAGAAGGGTCCTTTTGAAGTCCTGTTCATCACCCCTATTGCAGCCAGACTCTTGGGGAGTGGAGTCCTGGATCCAGCTGTCATATCTTAAAAGGAGTTATGGAACCTACTGGTGACCTGACCCTAAAAATTAAATGGAATCTAAAGCAGCCAACATCTGAGGTAGACAGCTGTTCCCAAGGCCCCAGGCTGAGAAGCAGATGAAAGCAGATGTAGGCTACCAACTCAAGACATCAGATGTGGGCTGAGGTTTGCAGTTACTCCCTCTATAAACTAAATGTTTTCTTTCTCCTTGCTACTGTCCTCTCAATCTTCAATGTTCATGGAAGTGGCAGGTTTTTTTCCCTTTCACTTTTACATTGTACTTATCTCCCTAAGTTGAGATTAGTGAAAAATTTGCTATTTAAGGTAAAAATTCCTGGGACTGTAATTTGTTTTGAATTTTGATTACCAGGATGGTTATCTGAATTGTCACAAAGCCAATAATAGAAAATGGCATGTGTAGCAGTCTAGGAACTTCAAAGATGGATATTTGTGCCTGGGAAAGGTTGTGAGGCTAACCTAGGACACAGCCTAGTTAGGATCCCTCTGACTCTATTTCTCCATTGTGTTATTTGGAAAAGGAAAATTCCTACCTGGTTAATCCTGTGACTACACTCAGTGAAAACAGAGCTAAGGGAGTTTTTCCCTTGTTAAATGATAACTGTGTCCTTCTTTTTCCTTTTATAACAAATTTCTCCCCAGTCTAATTTTTTTTCCCCTTGATTTGCCTTGCTGTCTACCTTGGCATTCTAGTTGTAACTCACTTATTCTTACATAAAATCAAAATCATGTTTAAGACGAATGTTTCTCATCGGTCTTCAGGGTCATTCCTATTTTGACTTAAAGGAGGGAATGTGAAGGGAATTATGATTTTCTTATTAATTGATATATGTGTAATTCATAAATTGATAATTTCTCAGAGCTACCTTTTCTGGCTTGGGAGTCAGAAGCTTACAATGCAGCTTGAAATGATCAATCAGATCCTTCACAGTGCTCTCATAATCATTGCATTCCTGTGCCTGTGTACCTTAAGTGAAGCAAATCAAAGATTGTAGAACCCGTTGCTGTCATAGAACTCTGATTCTGTGACCCACCAAGTAATGACCCCCCCACTTGAAACAATACTGTTCCCATAGGACTGCAGAACACCTGTCTCGTCCTACACTCATTGAGTTTGTCATGGGAAACTACTCAGGCAGTGGAAATGATTGTTTGTTATCTACTTTTCCCCCACTTTTTCCACTTGTGATTTATGTATATAACTTGTGCCTTTACTTCAGCATGTAAACCGTTCCTCACTCTGAAATTGATTAATTAAACCACTACTTGATTCCTGGCACTCCTGTCCCTAGGTCTGTTTTGTGTGGCTCCAGCTGTTCACAGGTTAGAGACTGACACAGTAACATCCTGTTAACAGATATAAGTCTATGATTCTCAGTTCGTTTTTATGCATCCTGTCTTGGAAATCAGCATGCTTTGCTTGGATAAAGAGCACGTTTTCTTTTTATGTTACTGTTTTTTGTTTCTCTTCTAAATTGCTCTTCACCTTTGTCAATTTTCATTTCCGGGGCCATCACCAGCTGTCTTTGACTTTTGTCTTGCCACTGGACTCTGATGACTCTGGAGGTGAGAGTGAGGCTGATGACTTTTTACAGCTCTGCCTCACTTCAGTTCAATTCATATGCAAGTCTAGACATCGCCCTTGGAGAACTAAGAACAACAAACAACAACAATCTGCATTCCCAGTTGATTGCTCACTCTTTAGTTTCTTTGGTGAGATGTGTCATTACAGATTCAAGTATTTCTGTTTTGCCAATTATTTTTGCTGTGCGGGCCATAAATTCTGCTCTTACAATTCTGATTTCTTTTTTTCAGCCATTCTAGGAAGAGCATGTTGTGGTTCTATGTTTTCCTCAAATTCCACAGGATCCTCTGTCTCATCAAGTGTAGGGTCATGGATGTATTCATGGATGCCTAAACTTGCGTATTAGATCTGGAGGCTGTATACTTTCTGTTGTTAATGTCTTCCCTGTTAATTTATCTGCTTACATTCAGGTTTTTTGAGTTTTCTTTCATCAGAATTCAGGAAACAGAACAATTCACAATGGCCCTCAATCCTGTATATTATTCTTCCTCTTCTGCAGTGATGAGGGCATAATGGTGGGAAAGGAAGACCACTAAGTATTAGTTTGTAGAGTATCCATAATATTAAAATCCTTGTACTACAAATGAATTATGAATATAATATGAATTATGAAGCTCATACTTATCATTAACACTTAATTGGCTTTATCTATGTTCTTCCATGATAGCTAGCTAAGATTGATAGGGAGGTGATGGAAATTTTGATGAGGAGGTAGGAGTAGCTTAAGAACAATGGACACGGAGGAGGTACCAGTTGGGAACCCTGGACAACCAGATAAGGAGAGAGAAATGAATAGTATAGAAATGGGAAGTGTGTAAGTCCTTGTGGGTGTCAAATAACATTGCTAGGACCAATGGTAATTCATAGGGTCTTGCTCCAATATTTCCAGAAAAAAAGCAGTGCTGTAAAGAGCCACCAGAGAGGAATGCCAGTGTGGAGGAGGAACCCTCAGGTTCTCTCCAATCCCACTTCTCTTTTCCCATATTACAACAACAAAGTACAGAAAGCTTATACTCTCTTCATTTTTTTCCTTCCTTCACCTATAATATAATTTTTAATCCTTAAACATTATTCTGCTCACTTTTATATTAAAAAATTTAAATATAATTTTTATTTTCTCTTACATCATATTACATATTCAAATAAGTATATAAATTGGACATATACACATATAAAATAAGTATATCATCTATTTTGAACCCCTGATCCCAAAGTCATCAGTCAAAAGGATTCATTTATGCCTAAATTTGCACATTTCTCTTCTGCCTGATCAGTGACTCCCTTATAGTGCATTTTAAGGGAAGCAATCTAGCTGGAGATATGTTTTTTAGGCATTGAAATGCTCATGCTATTCATTCAAGAATCACAAATCTTTTAACCAGACATTTCATGGGGAAGACTTACAGGTAATTACTGTCATAGGTATATGTTGTCTTTGTCATTTGGAAGTTAGATTTTTTTTGGGGGGGGAAATACTTGGGTTCCTTTTGATCTCTAGACACAACCAAATGATGTAAGTACCTACTAATAAGGATCTGGAGAGTTGAGCTTTTGCCTGGCAAACTTTCCTACAATGTAGTTTTTTTAAAAAAATTTTTAGGCAATTGGAATTAAGTGACTTGCTCAGGGTCACATAGCTAGTGTCAAGTATTTAGTCTGAGTCCAGATTTGAACGCAAGTCCTCCTGACTTCGGGGCTGGTGCTCTATCCACTGCGACATCTAGCTGTTCCTCACAAAGTACTTCTTAAGTGCCCTGCCTTTTATAAGTTCACCTGTGTACCCAGGGAGAAACTTTTCCAGTCAAATTTCATCCTGTTGTTAGGGTACTCAATAGATGCTTAAAGTTAAGAGCTGTGAATCCCTCCTCACCTGCAGTGCTTAGATTTTTCATTCTGGCTTGTTTCTTCCTGTTTGTTTAAGCCAAAGAAAGCTACTAAGGTAAATGTGGCTTCTTTACCCCAGATCTTGCTACATAAGAGCAATGGATAAAAGGAATTTGTCTTTCTATTTTTGCTATATAGGTTCTGTAGTTAGCTGTCTACGCCATCTTCTCTGGCTGTCAGTCCCTCCTCTCATTGGCATCTCTTCGATCTCAACATGGTGTTCTGGGACTGGATCCCTGCAAAACAGAAAATTCATTAGTGTCAGAAGGTCCAGTATCTCCTGAGCTCAAACCAGCAAGTATGTATTGACCTTTTTGTATGTGTAAAGCATTATGCTGGATGCTGAAAGGAAGTGCAAAGTATTATATAATAATATTTTGTATAATATTGCTATTTTCAAGTACTGAAGCATAGAAAACATATTTACTCTACTCCTTGGTTTTCAATAGCCCATCTTGATTCCTTTAGAAATCATAGGACCTCACAGTTGAAATGGACCTTCAATTCCCAGTATGTGGGCCAATGGCCTAGATAACCTTTGTCCTGGAGATGAACTAAAGATATGAGTTAATAATATCTGTGAATGTATTTTGACCTCTTTGGAAGAAAGCTGAGACGTGCCAAGCCATATTGGATACAGTTTTTGACTTGTGAATTTGACAGTGTATTTAGGGAGGGACAGAGGACTAAACAGCCCCTCTATACTCACGTGGCCTGATCTAGGGACAATGAGAGCAGAGCAGGCTACACCTTCCACTCTGGAGCTCTATTAGGCTAAGGAACAGCAGGGTCATAGCCTGTAACCATCTTGGTGGCTGGCAATGAAATCACAGAAGACAGCAACTCTCCATTTTCTGATAAGGGAATTAATTTCTCTTACATGGAATGAAGAATGAATTCTGCTATTTTTCTCTTGTGCTACTTACCTTCTTCTGAAGCAGAACACATATAATGCCAAAAGAGCTACCGGGATACTTATGGAAACAACCACTGGAAGAGAAACAGAAAATAAATCTTTGTGTCATGATAAAGCCAAAGATTTAATTTATGTCGAAGATCCTAAAAATCCTTTACAATTTGCAACCAGCTTATACTTGTTATTGAATTCTCTGAGTGTCTGTGGTAGAAAGAGCTCTATATAATCCCACACATCTCAGTCACCTTATCCCTGATCCCTTTTATACATGTCCTCCTCCTACTCTTCAGTTATTTGCTCCCTTCACAATATAAATTGCCCAGATAAACAGAAGAGGAAATAGAATACTTATTCCTGTCTTAGAAAAAGAAATAAAACAAGCCATAAATGAGCTCCCTAAGAAAAAAATCCCCAGGACCAGAAGAATTGACAAGTGAATTCTACCAAATATTTAAGGAACAATTAATCCCAATACTATATCAGCTATTTGAAAAAACAGGCAAAGGAGCCCCTACCCAGTTCCTTTTATGACACAAATATGGTTTTGATACCCAAACCAGGGAGAGCAAAAACAGAGAAAGAAAATTGTAGACCAGTTCCCTCAATGAATATCGATACAATCTAAACTCTTTCTAAGGAGGATAAGGTTTCTAGAAGGGAAGAAACTGGTTTTACTATCTCCTAGGCTAGTGCCTTCCCTCCGAAATTAACTTTTTTTAAAACTTATATTATCCACCATTCTCCTAGAATGGAGAAGGCTGATTCACCAGCTAATATATTTTATTGAGGATATTTTATTATGTGTAAATTTAAAAAAATATAAGTCTCAAGATATATGGTGTTCCTCAGTACAAATGTCTCCCTGAACCCACACGTAAAAAAAAATAATGAGAGATTGTCTGAGAAGATAATCATTAGAATATCAGGATATCAGGGCTGGAAGGGAAGTAGAGGATCATTTAATCTAATTGCCTCATTTCAATAGATAAGGAAAAGGAGACCTAGAGAGTGAAGTTAGTAAGAGGACCTAAATTTTCAGTCCAAGGCTTTTTTCATGACCCCACAGGAAAAAGAACATGAACATAGACACATAGATGTCATTTTTCCTTCTTCTACTGTTGCTTTTATTTTATTTTTGGCTGGGGGAATAAAAAAAAAGAGAACATAGTATTTAAAGAGAATAAATTATTCACACAGGAAAGGAAGAAATGTATATATGCTTCTTGTGTGATTTAGCCAAGAGGCATAAGAATAAAAGAGTGGGATAGTAAGAGGAAAAAGTAGATGTCTCAAGGAGAAGGAAAGGGAGCCTTAGAGACATGAAAGGTATCCAAGGCTTTTAGGATGAGATGGGAGGTGTAGATAGGACACAAGTTTCCATAAGCACTAAATGTGTAGGGATATACCCTCAGAATTTTCAAATGAAACCTTTTCAGGCACCAAACAAAAGTGGAGACTTGGAGATTTCAAGAAACTGCGATTTAATACGTATAGCCACTCTACTGAAACATCACAAAACTCTTAACCTTAGGAGTCTTTATGAGTTTTTATGGCTGAAAAATATTTAACAACCAAAAGCCAGCTTTTATCTTGGGCAATTACTGAGTCTATACCCAAAGCATATCCAGAACTTTTGATGTGCTGGAATCATGTTTAAGAATTCAGGCTTACCCCCAAACTCTCAGCAATTTAAAAACCAAGAATGGTCTCAGAGAAAAGATAATGAAAGGCTGCTCCCTCCTCCCAGCTGAGACCTTGGGGACTACGACAGTAGGACGTTGAGTGTACTGTTAGTCCCTGTATAGGATTAAATATATGTGTAAGGTTTCTTTGGTAAAACGGCTTGTTTCATTTCTGGGGAGAGTAGAGGGGCATTTCCAGAAATGACTCAATAATCTATGATGTAAAAACAAAATATGTGAATAAAACTTTTTTCTTTTTTAAAAGAATTCGTATTTCTGTCCATGTCACAATGAGGCATCAGACTTTAATGGAAGAATCTAACATGTAATTAATATAAAGTAGTAAACTGTAGGGGCAGCTAGGTGGCGCAATGGATAGAGCACCAGCCCTGGATTCAGGAGGACCTGAGTTTAAATCTGACCTCAGACACAACACTAACTATCTGTGTGACCCTGGGCAAGTCACTTAACCCCACTGCCTAACCAAAAATAATGATAATAATAATAATAATAATAATAAACTGTAAAAAATCTAAGATCATGGATAAAATTCTAGTAGGGTAGGAAGATGGGGGAAGACATGCTTGAAGTCTAGTAAAAAGAGAGCCAAAAAGTAAGGTTTGTTTAGTGTTTATCCAGTATTGTTCAGGGTGTTCTATTGATCAGTAACAGTTATACTAGACAAACAGTCCTAGAATAGAGAAGGCCAATTAACCAGCTAATAAGTCTTGATGGGAATCTCACTTAACATTTAACTCTCTCTGTTGTAATTCTGTGTTACCAAAGATTTCTGACCTACAGTTTGGTCTCCTGAGTAGAACTACCCAGAGTCAGTGCTTTGTGCAATGATAATGTATGTTTTAATGTATGAATTATCTTGCCAGCTATAACTTCCATTATAAAAGTTGGTATTCTGTTTTTATAAACTAACATTGTATGGTTAACATAAACTTGGAACCAAATAACCTCTATGTTTACTGGTAAAATCAAGTCCCTGAGCGGGCAAAGCTGAGGACCAGACCTATGATAACCTCAGTGAGATGTTGCTCCCTTGTGAGTCCCAATCTGAGAGACAGTCTTTTAGCTGTAGCAATGAGAATGCAATCTGTAGGTAGAAGAAGGAAGGAGCAGGCTAGGGATCAGACAGCAGCTTTAAGAGTCACTGTGTAATAGTAACAAGCTCCAAATCAGTTCAGTGAGTCTGACTTGACATAGTCAGCCTTCAAAAGCATGAAGCATACAGTGAGTAAGATAACCACAACAACGCATAGAAGTCACCTAAATATGTAGAGAAGCAGCCTCCAGATGCGCAGGCACTGAGACAACTGACCAACTGCAAAGAGGACAAATGACCAGGCAGGCAATTAGGATTGATTCTTGTGACTCAGTGATAACTCAGATCCTAGGGAAAATAAGTCATGAAGGAGGCGGAAAGGCCAGGCAGCATTGCTAGAAACGATTTGGGTTTTCAGACTTGAATGAAACACTAGCTTTTGTGTCACGAAAGCTAAAAAAGAAAGGCTGGACTACCAAATAGTCCCTATTAGTCACCTAGGTTTATCTTCACAGTAGACAATAAGGTTAGCATTCCATTTACTGTAGCTGGTAAGATTTATTGGAAAAAGCAAGTGGATGCCAATAATCTAGTTTCTCTTTCATAATACTTGCTTCCTGTTTTTGTTCAGTTACTAAAGGTAATGTACAATTACTAAAAGTGAAAGTGAAAAAAGGAGGGTGGTGAGTAGGGGAGACACTCCTCAGCTAAATTTTGTGACTGAAACACAAACCCACAGTCTCTTACAGCTTTTTCCATTGCTTCAATACCCCACCCTCATATGAAAAAATTCAGAGTAGAGCTAAGGTCATGAATTTACACACCAACTGCCAAACTGTCTCACCTACTGAGCTTATTAGATGGGTGTGTGACCTAGAAAAGTTGGAGATGCAAGGGAGTAAGAAGAGTTGAAGAAATCAGGGTATTACCATTGGAGAGAAGGTGAAAGAGGCCAGAAGCTCCCTTTTCCTGACAATATCCTACTTGCTATGGGCCATGAAATTGTGGTTTCTAAGCATTTAGGAATTCAGGATATTTATGTTCCATAGTAATGCTTGTGAGGGAGAAGGAAAAACAGTTTGAGATGGTACTTATGCAAAGATGTCCTTGTCAGTGGTCTTCTTGCCCCAACCTACTGTTGTATTTTTCTTGAACTCAGGCTAGGGTCACCAGCACTAGCCTAGTTCTGGGCCTGGTGGTATAAGGCTGGACAGCAGTCCAGGAGAGGTGAGAATGATCAATGATCAAAAATTATTTTATATTTAAAAAAATTTTAAATAATTTCATTTCCCCCCTAGTTATATGTAAAAACAATTTTTGACATTTCTGGTTTTTTAAAAAATTTTGAGTTCCAAATTCTCTCCTTTCTTCCCTTCCCCCTCCCTGAGATGGCAAACAATCCGATATAGATTATACATGTGCAATCATGTAAAACATATTTCCATATTAGTCATTTTGTGGAAGAAAACAGAACAAGAGCATTTTAAATTAAAACACATACATTTTGAGAACTCCAGACAGCAGAGCTTAAAAAAAATTCTAAGTAGCACCAGACTAAATGACTAAAGTGACACAGAGCCAGAAATTTTCATTGTTTGTGGTAGGTATACCCATTTCTTGGAAATGTGGCAAGGAAAAGGCCTTGTGTTACTGAAATCAATGTGTAACATTTCTTGGAAACTTGGGTTGGGTAAGCTGAAGGCTCTCCAGACTAGCAAAGTAGGAAAAAGCTGGGATTAGAAGGATCCAGTTTGGATGGCCAGAAACTTCAGGTGAGTTAGGCAGGGACAAATCAGAAGTGTAAGTTGGTATCAAAGAATCAATAGAGTTCAGAGGGCAGATGAAGAGATGCCATACAGGGTCAGGTTGAAGTTTCAGATAACGAGGATCCGAGTACAACAAAGACATGGCTCTATCTGCCACACTGCAGGTATCGGAGTGCTACCACTTTCCCCTAAAAATACTTCCAGTGGACTGCTAGTATTCCACCACGGCTAGTGCTATCTAGCAGTCAAAAAAACTAGCTTCATTAAGTCCCTACTAAGAGCTGTGCTACAAACACTGTGGATACAAAGGCAAAAGACAACTGTTAAGGAGCTCATAGTCTAAAGGGGAAGACAGCATGCAAACAACTAAGTACAAACAAGCTGCATGCAGGATAGGACTAGGAGTAGTCTCAGAGGGAAGGCGCTAAGATTAAGGAGACCTGGGAAAGCCTTCTTCCAGAAGGAGGGACATTAGCTGAAGCTTGAAGGAAGCCAGGGAAGTTTGAAGGCAGAGCTGAGGAGGAAGAGCATCTCGGGTATGGGCGTCAGCAAGTGCAAACATTTAGTCAGGG